TGTCTCCCTAAACTAAAATTCAAACCTTATGAAGGACTCTGAACATCATCTGACATGAACACGTCTACCAGCTGCCTGCATCTGAACCCATGTCCTCTGTCTTCTCTCTCATTTTGATGGAGGAACCCCTCTACTTGTATCCTTCATCCCTCCATCCCTTCTCGCCAAATTGAGGAGATCATTCCAGCACTTACCTCCTGCGTCTACTGCATTATCAATTTCTCCCTTTCTGCTGGATTATTCAGCATAAAACCATGTTACAATTTATCCTATCTAGAAAAAAACAAACTCTTTGCCTCTTATTACCTTCTATTACTTCCCCATTACTCTGTTTTCTCCCCAAAAAAAACCTTCAAAGTAGTTTATATTCATTATCACTTCCTCTTTTTTTTCTGCTGAGGAAGATTCACCTGAGCTAACATCCATTGCCAGTCGTCTTCTTTTTGTATGTGAGCTGCCACCACAGCATAGCCACTGACGAGTTGTGTAAGTCCCCACCCAGAACCGAACCCAGTCTGCCGAAGGAGAGCATGCTGAACTTAACCATTAGGCCACTGGGGCTGGCTTTCTTCCCATTTTTTCTTAAACCCACTTAGTTGGACATTTATTGCAACCACTCCACTGGAACAGCTCTGATCAAGGCCACCAAAGACTTCCATTTTGACAAATTTGGTGGTCATTTCTTAGTCCTCACTATACTCAGTCTGTTAGGAGCTCTGACCCAGTTGAGCACTTTCCTCTTGACAGTCTTTCTTCACCTGACTTCCAGGACACCACTCTGTGTCCCTTCTCACTCACTGGTTGCTCCTTCTCATTCTGCTTGACTGGGTCCTCTCCACCTCCCTCGCCAGAGTAACCCAGGGCTCAGTCCTCACGCCTCCTCCCTTCCATGTCTCCATTCACTCTCTAGATGATCTCACCCAGTTTCAGACTTTAAATACTGTCACTACAGCACTGACAACCAAGTTTATACATCTTCCCTAAACCCCACACTCATGCTTGCTACCACCAACTATTTAAGTGAATGAATTAAAGCAGGAACATTGTCCATCTTCATAGTCAGCACCTAAAACAGTGCTTGACATAGCACTCAATTATCTGTTAAAATTATGAATATTGTTAAACTAAACACCAACATGAGAAGAACGAAAAGATAGACGCTAGCCATCAGCTAATTTCAAGTAGTCATTTCTTTTCATGTAAGCCAATGGCATACTAGAAGTCACCTCAAGATGTTATCTTCCAAGCTGCAGTGGTCAGGAGGTTTGGCTTGTTCCAGAAACTGAGAACTGAAGCATCTAAAGGAAATGATGAATTATATCACTCAGGAAATGTTATGTGGAAATTTGTTCTCATTCTCAGACCATTAGTAAGATGTGGCCAGCAGAAATCTCAGGGACATATTCTTAAAGAAGAACATAGGGTAAAAGAATTCTATGCTGCCAATTCAGAACAAAACTAGATACAATCAGTTGAGTGTAGGATAGGGTTGGCACTGTCTTGAAAAGTTAAGAAGACTTAAAAAGGATAGACAGAAGAAGGATCTAGTCTATGTTCCTTTGAACAAGAAAAAAAAATGATTTATTCCCCAAACATCCAGGCCACTTAACAGCTTCTCAGACTAAAATCCATAGTAATTTACTCACAGCAAAGTGGGTGAATCTCACCAACATACTGTTGAGCAAAAGAAGCCAGATGCAAAATGAGTGGTTACTACTAGTTTCCATTTAAGTCAAGGTCAATGAGGGGCATGAGGGAACTTTCAGAAGTCATATAAATGGCAGATATCTTGATTAGAGTGATGGTTATACGGGTATATATATTTGTCAAAACTCATTGACCTATATGATTAAAAGCTTAATATTTTAATGAGTGTAAAATATAACTCCACTTAAACAAATATAAGTGTCCCTCAGAGTGTTTTGGGGGCCGGAGGGGAGAGTGAGAGATGTTTCTTCACCATAGGATCTCTCAGAGCCTATAACATGCTCATGCGCACCGCAGCTCTCTAAGAGGAGGCTGTATATACACCATATCTTCCACATTTAATTGCTCAGTGAAGGTTATTTTTTCCCTCACATACATTAACATCTATAAGCAACTAATGTTTCAGGAACTCAATAACTTTACCCTGGAAAAAATGCAAACAAGGGCTATAAATACCACTGTGGCCACCAAAAAAAAAAAAAAAGAATCAACTTCTAATTTTAGGCAATCATTTTTTGGTGAATCCCCCAGAATAAACTAGTTACAAAATATACTCCTATAGAAAGTCCAAGCACTGGAACAATTCTGCCCAAAATAATGAATTTTATTTTGGAGTTGTTGACCTCAATTCCTTCTGGCCATTGTCACATAGTAACACCAGTTGCTTATTGAAGAACCTCAAGTTAACGACGAGGAAGTTTTCATTAATATAGACAATCAGCCCATCCAGAGGAGGCATCAAGGCATTAAAACACAAGTTAAAAAATAGAAGTCTTATGTTGGGTTCCCCCGGAACTTGACTCTGAGACAGACCCGTGCGTCGGAGATTTATTGGGGAAGCTCCAGAACACCTCGATCGCACTTCGCAGAGGAGTGAGGGAAGAAGGACTAGGAAGCAGGAGGAGTTTTCATTGTGATGTGGTCACAACAAAGGCCTCAGCAGGTGCCGTTGGGAGCTCCAAAGCCTGGGTGGCCCTTCAGGGTTGTCCAGCCTTGAGACAAGGGAGCCAGATTTTTACATGCTCACAACAGACCAATGACAGTATGCTGGCTGCCCTAGGGAAGGGGCATGGCACCAGGCAAGGTGTCCTCTGGCCAAGAGGAATTTTCACGGGGAGGATCAGCTGAGAGCCATCAGCTACCAACACTTCCAGAAGCAGGGAGACTGAGGGCCTCAGTCCTGACGGGGGAGTTGAGCCACATACACCAGTATCCAGTACAGCAGCCAACATGCACCCCTTTCACCAAACCCACAAGGGATGTCTGACCTACAAGAAACCAATCCTACCAAATATAAATATAACTCTCATGCTATTAATAGATAAGCTTTAAGTATTAGGAGCCAAGGGCCCAAATTATGCCCATATTGCTTTATCCATAACATGTATTCATAAAACTACAATAAAAACTGCAGATAATCTTAGATGGTGACTAAAAAAATTATTTCACAATATAAACCATATACCAAGAAACTCACTGACTAGCTCCCCCCTTTGTGGGATGCCACCTCAGCAGGACCTGATGAACGGTGCCATGTCCACGCCCAGGATCCAAACCAGCGAAACCCCGGGCCACCAAAACGAGCACGCAAACTTAACCACTCGGCCATGGGCCGGCCCCAAGGTAGAGATTATTCCCTATTCAGCTTTGAGAAAATTAAAGCACCGAGAGATTAAGTACCTTAACCAAGGTCACACAGGTGGTAAGTGGTGGACCTGGAATCCACAGAGGATATAACTTTGGAAGTAAGCCTTGAAAACTGAGTAGGAATTTGCCTGATGGACTCAGAAACGGGGCTGGTGAGAGCATTCCAGACTCAAGGAGCCACAAGTACCAACGTTTAGAAATCGTCTGAAACCGGCAGGTTCATCTGCCCGCTGGCTGCTTGCGGCAGAGTAACGAGAGTCCAGGCCTGAGAAGTGGGAGCAGTGGAGGGCAGGGAAGGACAGGAGTCGTGTGCCCCATAAGGGAGAGACTGTAGGAAAGTAGGCACAAACTGATGGGAGTGACTTTTTTAAAAATAATATCAATAAGAATATTAATAAGAACTAAAACGACTAACATTCATTGAGAGCATCCTATAAGCCAGACATGGGCTACATACCTACACGTTACACATCTTAGCTTCCCTACAATCTTATGAGGGAGGTACTACTGTTATCCCATTTAACAAGTGAGAATACGGAGCCTTAAAGGGGGCAACTAGACTGTCTGGGGTGCTACTGCCTATGCGTCACAGAGCTGGGGTTCAAAACCAAGGAGCTGTGACCCCGAAGCCTGTGCTCTCAGCTGCCTGCTCCAGGGTGCACAGCCATCACCACCTCATCCTCCATGCCGGATGCAGAGTGGCGGAGGATGGCAGAAGGGCAGCGAGGACTAAACTCGTGCTCCAACCCAGGAGACACAGGATGCAGCCCTTCACCAAAGAAGTGCGAGCTGAGGGCTGGAGCAGAGCTTTGAGAAATACGCATACAGAGGTGGCAATGGAGCCCAAGAAAGATCTGGCAGTGAGAACGCAGGAAGAGACATGGACACCAGCCAGCTGTCTGAAGAGATGGCAATTCCAATAACCAAGCGAATGAGTGGAGATAAGCACTGGGAGGCTGGCAGAGGAATGAGAGAAAGAAGTTGCTGAGGTCAGGGTCTCCTGGGCCACAGAAGGAAGGGCCCAGTGGGCAGGTGGATATTCAGGGCAGGGGCTGAGAAAAACAATCTGCTAGGCAGGTAGAGATTTGTCCAAAAACATGTTGAAGGCACGAGAGTGTTTTAATTCATTTAGGGAGAACATAAAGAATGAGAAGATGGACCAAAACTTAGAAAACGCCAACTATTCGGGAAAGAATTCATTTTCTCACCTGTAAAAATAAGGAGATCTGTATGTATGGACACATGTACATAGACCTGCCATATACCCGCCTTCTTTAGCAACCTGGGAAGGGGCTTTCTTATAAGTAAAGTAGGCTGTCCTTAGTGTTATCTCTGGAAAAACCAACTCATTCTCTTTCACATATGAGGTTTATGAATTACTTCTAGGTGGTATATTTCTCCTGAAGAAAATAAGCTAATTGAATAGTGTATTATTTAATAATAAATAAAAGTACTAGTTGTTTAGAGTTATCACCAAAAATCCGCTTGGCCACTCTGAGCCCACATCGCGGACGTCAGTAATTCCACTTTAGACAGAAGCGCCTGAGGCTCTGGATGGGAGCGCTGCATGCTTACAGTGCTCCCAGAATATACCATTTTCTAGCTGTATTTACGATCTCTCTTCACCCTTCACCCTACAAAATATCACAGTGTGGCTTACCTGCCTTAGGAATCTGTAAAAAAGGCAATTTCACCAGTTTCTCTCCTTTTAAAACAAAAGAAAACTTCCCAACGTTCACATGTAGCAAAAAGAGGAAAAATGCCTGTTTGGTCCCCCCTCCCCACTGCTGCCACCTTGCAGTTTATGACATACAGAGAGAGGGAGGTCTGACGAAGTGAACGAGGCAGCCAGAGAGCGAGTCCATCCCCGTGGAAACCACGCGTCCCTTGGTGCAGGCGGCTCTTCCTACTTTCCTGCGCGATCTCTTTTGTGTGACTTTGAGAGGGGCTCATGAATGATTTCTAAACGTGTGCCTGGCTGAGGCGAGCCACACAGGGAGGGAGTCACCCGGCTGAGTAGGGGCAGAGGAAGCCAACACGGACCTCGCAGTGCTGGAACTGGCTCGACTCTTAACATGCAGGTTTTGAAATCAGCAAAACAGAAATCAAATTACTATCATATTATGCTGGTGGAAGCTCCAGGAGAAGGCACTCTACACCAGCTTCATTACCCTGAGAGATGCAGCGGGTCACAGAACAGCAAATTGTGTTTAACATGTGGACCCTGAAGACAAATGTAAGTTCTTGTTTTCTCATGCTGCTGTATTTTATTGCTGTGTAATTTTCTCTCGGGCTTGGAATCACACTTGGCCAAAATGTAATCATTTTTACAAGAATTTCTAGTGTGTAAAGTTGTCTGCTAATCTCTAAGACTTTGTTTTTCTTTTATTAACTAAGCAATGTAATACAAGCTGAAATTCCTGACAGCAGCTGCGGCAATTCAGCCTAAGACTGACTGAGAACTATAACCCAAAGTACATCCGATTAGTACGGCACTAACAGTGGATGTATTTTTAATTGACTTTCTGAATGTAGGATGCATGCAGCCCCGCTGTTTTGGATTGCATGCTATTTTAATACTGCTGTGGCTGAACTAGTGGGACAAACATAACCAACAGAATGAGATAGAGCTCCAGGAGATTCCTAGTAGTCACAAAACTTTTCTTTTTTAGCCAGGATCACATCTTTCTCCCTGAATGCTCAAAATTCTACAACCTCTATGTTGCAAGTTCATTCTGCTTTTCTGACCTTGCTTTAGAGAAAAAACTAAAACCGAACAGAGGACTACTAAAATTGTGAAGGAAGAAAACAGAAAGAGCCATTACACTTCTTTATGTACTACTATAATAATGGGAGGAAAAAAGCCAACTAAAGGAGCCCAGCCTGTACACCAGCTTCAGTGTGACAGAGTGTGGGGACACAAAGATGGATGGTGAGCAGAGCCTATAACTTGTTAGTTTCTCTAGACTTCATCTGCTACAAGTGCTGGCTCCGAAATGGATATTCTTTGTGAAGAAAACACTTCTTTGAGCTCAACCACGAACTCCTTAATGCAATTAAATGATGACACAAGGCTCTACAACAGCAACTTTCACTCCGGAGACACAAACACTTCAGATGCATTTAACTGGACAGTGGACTCGGAAAATCGAACCAACCTTTCCTGTGAGGGCTGTCTGTCCCCACCATGCCTCTCCTTACTTCATCTCCAGGAAAAAAACTGGTCTGCTTTGTTGACAACTGTAGTGATCATTCTAACCATTGCTGGAAACATACTCGTCATCATGGCAGTGTCCCTAGAGAAAAAGCTGCAGAACGCCACCAACTATTTCCTGATGTCACTTGCCATAGCTGATATGCTGCTGGGTTTCCTTGTCATGCCCGTGTCCATGTTAACCATCCTATATGGTGAGTGGCATTCGTTCCCAAGCTGTACCCACACTAGTAATAAAGGGCATGTGCATGTCAGTAGCTGATGAGCAGGGGCTCAGGTGACAAACTAAACACAAGGCTTTGTTTATAGATGGGATCTACCATGTTACACCAATTACTTAAATTTTGCTCTTAAGATGGGGTTTCACATATTAAAAAATCAGACAACCTAGTATCTTTGATCATTGGAGAGTTTTGTACTTCGAAACACGCACATTTTATGAAGAGAGAGAATTATGAAGTGTTGCGCTTTAAAACGTGTACATCTTATGCAGAAATGATTATAAATGCCCCAACCCAGTCATAAAGCAATAATTTATCTGTCATTCTGAATCCACTCGATTTTCACTCCTTTGTATTCCCAAATGTTCCAGTCTTCAGGTCAGAACAGTTTTATCTTTGTTACACAGTTTTCAGCACTTCGAATGGAGTGGTAAAACCTTCCCAATTACCTTTTGAAACATTTGCAGAGAGAACATCAATGATGCATTGGGTTTAGTGTTAAAATATGCAGAGTCTCCATTAGAATAAATGAATTACACCAATTTTAATTGTTCCCTGCCCAGAGAAGCTAATTTGGAAGTGTGCCTTTGAATTATACCCTCAAGACTTTAAAAATGCATATGCATAAACTCCTCCGGTCTGGTTTGGAGGAGGGTGGAAAACAGAAAGAGACTAATCTTGCTTTCTTCTCAGCAGAGTTTGAAAGAGTCAAACCTCTCAGCAAGTCAGCAAACACTGGGACGGCTTCAGCGGGAAGCAGAATGTGATATTCTTTCCAAGTTATGAGTAATACATCCAGATTTCTCCTTTTAAAAAGAGAGAATATTGAGACCGCTGACAGGCACATCAGCACTCACCCAGGGCTAGAAACTGGTTATGAACGCTGTCTTTTAGAGGGGATTTTCTGGCCAGGTCTTAGGGGCTAAAAAAATATCAACCCAGCCCTGAGGAGCGTGAAGGAGGAAGGAGGTGAGCAACGGAGAGCAGGCGTGGGTTTGCACCTAGGCAATAAGGCTCTTAGCAAGGCCCGCCCCCGCTTGACTGAAGGTCACACCCAGATGATTTCATTAAATTCGCCTGTCATTTCCCAGTCAATCGGGAGACGCTGTCACTTCCTACAACCCCGCCCCCCTCCAAAGTAAACTCCAGCAGTGGGGGATGACTGTCCCACAACGCGTCTGGAAACCAAAACCACGGCGGGAGGGTGGGGGCGACCCCAAGCTGCTGGTGTAAGGCAGGCACGCGCCGGTCGGCTTCAGAAGCTGGGACCTGGCCGGCGCCTCCCGCTCGGGTGCAACGGCGCCCCCTGGCGGCGGCCGCCCCTAGCGCAGCAGGTTCCCGGCCAGAGTTGCGCCTCTTGGAGGACTGGTCCTCCCAGACTCATCCCGGCGAGGAAGCGCCCCCTCCTTCTCCCCGCCGGAAGCCCAGGCTAAGGCCGGTGGCTGCCTCCTTGCAGAAAAAACTCTCCTGAGGGCCAACATCAGTTCCAACCAGGCAGAGCGTGGCTTCCCCCCAGGGCGCTGCTAAGGAAGAAGCTCTCCTCTCGTTTTAGCTCAAGCTCTTTGCAAATAATCAGAGTGAAAAGCACTAAGTTAGGCTTGTATCCCGCACACTTTGCTTTCCTAAATATATGAGGCGGCATTTTGGTAGAGAGAATATGCCTATGTTTCCGAATGGAAACTTTGTTCAGCTTTGTGGGTCTGCAATATTGTGAAGATAAGGAGGTCTGTATAGTTTTTCTTCTCGTTTGCACACAGATCTAATGCCACTGCTTATACTATCATAAAAACTAGTTAAGCTTTAAGTATTTGATCCCCCTCCAAAACAAACAAAAACGAGACACTTTGCTTATGTCCATAAGGCATACCCTAACTTCCTAATACAGCAGGTGACCTCCTCCACTGCCTCTCACAGTGGAATCATCTGGAGAGCTTTGAAATCCTTTAACGTTTGGTGCCCACCTCCGCCCACCCTCCTGGGCATCAGGACTTTCTCTAAAGCCCTCCAGCTGATTCTAACGCGCAGCCAGGGGTAAGAACCACTGCCCCAAACAGCAGTTGCCAAAGTGTGGGCCCTGAACCAGCAGCACCAACAGCACAGGCACCTCCTGGGAACTTGTCAGAAATGCAAATTCTCCTGCTCCTCTGCAGACATACGGAATCAACCTCTGGAGATGGGGGCCGGCAGTCCCATTATAAGAAGTCACCTGGGAGATTCTCCCACTCCCCAAAGTTTGAGAACCACTGCCCTGAAACAGTTCTCAGGACAATACCATGCTTTTCTTCACCACTGTCTTTATTTTTTCCCCACACACCTCACATTTGAGTTCAACCCCCAAAGCATTATTAGGTAGTTGTTTTCATTTTTACAAACTGGGAATGTCAATCTGGATTTTTAATTATTTATTCATTCACACCAATAGGATTTATTGAGAAAGTATTAAATGTTATTGCAGTGCGAGACTGAGCACTTAAATAATAGACTGAGGTGGACCTATAACCTCAGGGAAGCTACGATACATGAAAGATATGTGGATAAATAACAACAGTACACTGTAAGAGGTGCTTCAATAGAAGATCCCAAAATACATCATAACTTATGACTTGTCATTAAAAAAAAAAGGTAGATTGTTAGGCAAAAGAGATAGAGTGAAAGAAATCCTAAAGACAGACAACTTGAGTTACCACAGCACATGGGCATAATTCCAGCCACAAGAAACATCAAACCTTGTGTTCATCAGCCAGTGCGATCTTACGATGGTTAAGTACAGTTGCTATTAGGCTGTTTTTGAAATATTGAAAATATCTCGTCTTGCCCTTTGCTGCCCCCTGTGCCTTTCCCCAGGATGGAAACTGTTGTAGCAGGGTCAATGCCACACACCAGAGAGAGCACAAGGCCAATGACTGATGTTAACCTTCTGCATTTTCTCCATCGTAGGTTACCGGTGGCCTCTGCCCAGCAAGCTCTGCGCCATCTGGATTTACCTGGATGTGCTCTTCTCCACGGCCTCCATCATGCACCTCTGCGCCATCTCGCTGGACCGCTACGTCGCCATCCAGAACCCCATCCATCACAGCCGCTTCAACTCCAGAACCAGGGCATTTCTGAAAATAATTGCTGTTTGGACCATATCAGTAGGTAAGTGGGTCTCATTTGAAATGACAGTTCATGCCTTCCAGGGGGCCTTGTTCTGTTTTGTTGCATTGAAACCTGACATGCTGAATCTATTGTTTGTTTCAAGATATTTTACGACATAGTAATTAGCAGATTTGCTTTAGGAAAGAAAAATCTGTTAATGTCATTGGCTGAGAACGTAAGTTCACATTGCTTTGCACAGGTAAGAATGTATACAGCAGTAGAGCCAAAATTAGGAATAACTGTGCTGTGGCCACCTCCCAAAATATTTCCCCCATCTTACGCTTTCAAATTCACTACTCTCACTGTTGAGTTTTCCAGAGACCTCAACATTTATAATCACTGGACTTGTGGTTGGTATAGAACATAGAGCCCAATACTAGAGAATACAAGCTTCTGGGGGCTGGAGAAGGTACCAGGTGCTGTAACTCAGAGGGAAAAGGTGAGGACAGGGGAAGGTGGCAGGACTTGCTCAGGGGCAAAGCGTTTCAGCCTTCCCAGCGCCTCTGTAACACTTCCTCCTGTTGTGACACCACATACCAGAGGATTTCAACCTGATTTGCTTAGGTCAATTGCATGCATTCATCTGTCACCAGTGTTGGTCGTCTGTCACACACCTAACAGTCAGGAGAGCCCAGGTAATGGAACCTAAAGGGGCAGCTCCCAGGCAGCCAAGTGAGTTGCACCTGTCACCTCAGCAGGCTTAGTTTGTAACCAAAGATTCCCCAAGATTTGTTTTAAAGTTGCAAAGCTTTTCAGACAGAAATGCTGCACCTGCCTATAGCCACGTGGGTGCCAGCATCCACTAACATGAGAGACTCTGGGATGTGATGGCAGGCTTAAAATCAAGGACATGTGTGAGTCTACCCACAGCTTTGTAATAATAAAGATGCAAATTAACCAGAGCAAACAATATAATATCTTGTGTTTTTCATTCTTATTGTTTGCCTTGCTGGCTAATGTGTAATCTGCAGGGCAGGTAGCTCCATGTTATAGGTGAGAAAACTGGGGTTCAAAAAGTGAAATAGCCTGTGCAAAGTCGACCTCAGCACAGCAAAGATTTAGTCTGATGATGATGGGAACACAAGTGACATTTGTCTGACTTTCAAAATTTTGAAAAGTCTTCTTTTCCATGTTAAACTTCACATTTCAGTCTGAGGTAGACAAAACAGAAGATCTTACTGTGTGTGTTTGACGGATTAGGGAAGCGGGGCAGAGAGGGGGTTTATGGCTTGCTGGGTCGCCTCTCCAGCTAGCGGCGGGCTAAGACTGCAAACCTCCAGCACCAAGCCTTCCTCTTACTGCTGAATGTACCTCCCGCCCTAGGAAAGGGTTTTTGCTCCGAAAAAGTGCTTGTGGTTTCTAAGCCTGTGTAATCTTGGCTTCATTCTACTGGGAGCAAGAGAACGAAGGACTAGTGATCTCAACCACCACTGCATATAGAAACTCCTGGGAGCATGCTGATTTCTTTCACTGGTCCATGGTAAGGCCACGTGATTCTAAGGTGCAGCCAGGGTGGAGGACTGAGACAGACTGTCTAAGAGGGAGTTGCAATTATCAAGGGAGGGGCAAGAATAACGCAAAGGAAACGAGCAAAACTATTGTCAGATTTACTCTAGTTTTACTCTGTACACAGTTCCAGTGGTGAGACCAAGGCTGGGAGGGTCACCCATCTTTTGCCCATCTTCAGGCATACCAACTCCCCCATCTTCACCAAGCTTAATACCACCACTAGTAGTGAGGGCCAATTTCTGAGCAACAGCCACAGACCCAGTAGTGTACAAAGCACCTTACAAAAAATAAGCTGCAGAGAAATTGGATGAGATGACATAGCTCATAATCAGGAGTCAACTTGGGTCAGTTTTGCCTCCAAAGCCCATGCCCCTTCTACTTCCCAATAGGAATCTGCCTCTTGATCCTTCCAAATATCGCCCCAGGAGGCAGGCAGGCTGGAACGGTTGTAGGGGTGCTTAGGGTTCATCATCCATCCGTGGGTCAACAAACTTTTATTGCATGAATACTATGTGCTTGCCACTGAATATACTGCAATAAATTAAATATGCACTTAGAGATCTCTTACAATGTGGAGAGGAAGGCAGAGAAGTAAACATAAGAAAAGCAAATGTTATATAGGCTCTATTCCACAAGTCTGTGAGATGTATGGCCAAGGACGGGGGCATTTGGGAAAAGTAAAAAAAAAAAAAAAAAAAAAAGTCAGTTCTACTGAAGGGCCTGTAGGGGTTTAGCATAAATTCTCCTGAATTTTCTTCTAGTGTCTCCATTCCTATTGTTGCTTTTGTTCATTGTTTTTACATTTAGATCCTTAGTCCAGTTGGAATTTATTTTTGTTGATGGTCTAACATGTTTTCTTCTCCCAATGATTAAAGCTTTTGCAGCATCCATTGACATGATCATAGTTTTCCCCTTCAATGTATTAATATACTTAGGGGGCTGGCCCCGTGGCCGAGTGGTTAAGTTCGCGCGCTCCGCTGCAGGCGGCCCAGTGTTTCGTTAGTTCGAATCCTGGGCGCGGACATGGCACTGCTCATCAAACCACACTGAGGCAGTGTCCCACATGCCACAACTAGAAGGACCCACAACGAAGAATATACAACTATGTACCGGGGGGCTTTGGGGAGAAAAAGTAAAAAATAAAATCTTTAAAAAAAATTATTAATATATTTAGCTTTGATAGATTTCCAAATATTGAACTACCCTTGCATTCCTAGAATAAATTTATAAATAAAATTGGACTTGGATTTCTTTGTTAGGCTGACTTGGGTTTATCATTCTTACAAGGTTTCTTTTTATAGTTTCACCAAATCAATTTGGGACATTTCTGTTTTTTCCCTATGGTCTTGAAATACTTAAGTAGGAATATTCTTTAAAGGTTGTGTAAAACAGTTCTAAATTGCTCTCGCCCTGGTGCCTTTTCAAATGGTATCTTTAATTACATTGCTAAGCTTTTCAATAGTTATTATTTAATAATTTTCTATCTTGGGTTATTAGCTGGATACAAAGTTTAAGCTGTTCTCTTTCATATGGATTATTTTATCATTACTAAATGTAATGCTTCTTGCCTTAAAGTCTACTTTATTTGATATTAGGATAGCTATGCCACTTTTCCTTTGGTTATCATATTCTCGATATATCTTATCCCATCCTATTACTGTCAAACTTCTGACTATATACTTAGAATATATTGCTTGTAGGGGGCCAGCCCAGTAGCATACTAGTTAAGTTAGTGTGTTCCACTTCAGCGGCCCTGGGTTCACCCATTTGGATCCCAGGCCTGAACCTATGCACTGCTTATCAAGCCATGCTGTGGCAGCATCCCACATATAATGTAGGTGAAGATGGACACGGATGTTAGCTCAGGACCAGTCTTCCTCAGCAAAAAGAGGAGGATTGGCAGCGGATGTTAGCTCAGGGCTAATCTTCCTCAAAAAAAAAAAAGTATGTATTACTTGTACACAGCATATAAAGTTTTGTTTTTATACAGTCACTCTGTATTTTTTTTTAAAGATTTGCACCTGAGCTAACATCTGTTACCAATCTTCTTTTTTTTCCTTCTTCTTCTCCCCAAAGCCCCCCACTATATAGTTGTATAGTCTAGTTGTGGGTCCTTCTGGTTGTGCTACATGGGGCACTGCCTCAGCATGGCCTGATGAGCAGTGCCATGTCTGCACCCAGATCCAAACCGACAAAACCCTGCGCCACCAAAGTGGAGCACATGAACTTAACTACTTGGCCACAGGGCTGACCCCTAGTCACTCTGTCTTTTAATTGGAATACTTAGTCTATTTACATTTAATGTACCTCATATTTGGGTTTACCTTCTTATGAATTTCTTCCTATTGTCCATTTATTTTATATTCCAGTTTCTCTCCATTCTTACCTTCTTTTGGACTAATCAACAATTGTTAATTCATTATTCTCCTTTATAAGCTTGTTATATTCATTCTTTTAAATCCTTAGTGATGAAAACATTAATTTTGGGGCCAGCCGGGTGGTGTAGTGGTTAAGTTTGCACATTCTGCTTTGGTGGCCTGGGGTTCACTGCTTCAGATCCCAGGTGGAGACCTACACACTACTCATCAAGATCAAGCCACACTGTGGCAGCATCCCATGTGCAAAATAGAGGAAGACTGGCACAGATGTTAACTCAGGGCCAATCTTCCTCACCAAAAAAATTAAAAAGGAAAGAAAGAAAGAAAGAAAAACCTCCACATTCATTTTTGGCCTAATACAGTCTAATCCAAATCATTACTTGTGTCACTTCTTGGATAATGCAAAAACTTTAGAATATTTTAACTCCATTTGCCCCTCTGTTGTCTTTTGTATTATTTTTCCTATTTTCTAGTTCTATGTATGTTTTTGTCATAAATGTTTTATTTACTCAGTATTTATTTCCCATATACTGACCCTTTCTTTCACTGTTTACTGCTTTTGTCATTTCCATGATTCTGACTGGGTTTATATAGTCTTAACTCCTAAAGGATTTCTTTTGGAGTATCATAAGTTTTCTTTCAGCTTCTGTTATTCTATACATCTTTATTTTGCCTTCATTTTTAAACATATTTGTGCTCAGTATATAACTCAAGGTTGGCAGTAATTTTTTAAGCAATTTATAGGTGACATTCCAAAGTTTCTAGCCTCTATTTTTTTATTTGTTTCTTTGGAGAACTCAGCTGTCAGACTTATTGTCATTCCTTAGAAGCCATCGCCTGTTACCTTCCTTTGCTGCTATGGGATTTTTTTGTCTTCGTGTTTTAGGAATCTTACTGTGATGTGCCCAGATGTGGGTTAATTTTGGTTTTATCCTGCATAGTGTTTGTATGGATTCTTAAATTTGTGGTTCAATGCCTTTTTGTCAGTTTAAGAAAACTCTTGGCTGTTATCTTTTCCAGTATGCCTCCTACCCCATTCTCTCCTCCCCAACTCCTCACTTCTGAGACTCCAATTTCATGTATGGTAGAATTTTTACCCATGTTTATGACTCA